ACCCGATCTAAGGCTAGATCGGGGGTGCGTGTGGAATCTGATCCAGACTCCTTACCAGAGGAAGTCGTGAGAGAACTACGAATCGAGCGGATCCGACAAGCGCAGGACGAGGAGTCGTGGATCATGGGTTTGAAGAAGTATTTAATCGGGGAGATCCGGGATCTGACACAAGAAGAGGCTAAGATGTTCGGATCTATTGCTATGAATTGGATCAGTTGGATCTACTCTTCTATTGCCCGACAACTAAGGAAACTGCCGCAGATCGAGATAAGCTGATGCGACTGGTGATACCTGCGACCCTTCAACAGGACATTCTGCATCACTATCATACGAGTCTACAGGACGGTCACCAAGGGGTCGGCCGCACCTATGATCGGATCCGTGATCACTTCCACTGGAGAGGTCTGTTTAAGAGTGTACAACGATACGTGGGGGGATGTGTCGACTGTGAGACAGGCAAGGGAAGCCTCAGATCCAGGGCGAATCGCCTGGTAACCTTCAGGCAACGTACCAATTTGAGATCATTGCCAGGGATCATATACCCTCACTGCCGAGATCCTTCAACAGCAACACTGAATTGCTGCTCTTTGGGGACCTATTCTCAGGATATGTGATCGCCAAAGCCAGCGCCTCTAGATGCGCTCAAACGATCGCCGAGACTTCCGAAGAATGTGTCTTTCGTCGATTTGGCGCGAGCGAGGTGATCCGACATGACCAGGAGCCAGGCTTTATGTCTGATTTCTTTAAGTCGTTCAACAGGATCCTGGGACAACGTCAACGGGCTACTATGTCATATAGGCCCCAAGCCAATGGATCTGCGGAACGTATGGCCCAGACAACTACCAGAGCTCTTAAGATGTACGTGGAAGATCTGGGTCAACGAGATTGGGATGAGTATGCTGAACGGCTCACCTTCGCGATCAATACCGCAAGGGATCTGATCCGAGGCGAGACACCTTTCTATATGATACATGGTTGGGATCCTAGATCCACCCTAGAAGCCGTGATCCCGGTGGAGAGCACTCGCATGCATGATCGAGATCCGAGAAGATGGCGATATCGGATGCAAAAGTGCAATCAACAAGCTCGAGAACAAGTGGACCAGCGTTTACGCGAAGCGATTGCGGATCGGGCTGACATGCATAATGATCTAGTACGTCCTCACCCTGTAGAGTCTGGATCAAGAGTCTGGTTATACCTAGATCGAGTGCGTGATGGATATGCAAAAAGCTGGCGCATTTTGTGGCATGGTCCATTCCACCTCGCCGAAAAGATCGGGAAATACGCAGTGAGGTTGGAGGGCGCAGGATCAACATACAGCATTTTCCCGGTGGTGCATGTCTCAAATATCAAACTGGTCAAATATTCCCAGGGATCAGAAGAAGATCGGGTGGACTTCGATGAAGCTCTCCTACCTGAAGATAGCTGGATCCAAGATCGGGATCCGGATGAATACGAAGTGGAACGAATCTCCGATATGAGAACTGGCAAGAGGACGAGATACGGCCGGATCTACCTGGTACATTGGCGTGGATACGAAGATCCGACCTGGATAGACGAGGCATATCTCAACTGCGGTGCTCTTCTTTATGAGTTCTTGCGATATCGCGTTAATCGCAACCGTTTCGGCATGATGCAATCTCACGAGGAACCGTGAGCGGGGGATCTACATTGATGAATTGGTCATTAGTGTGGCTGAAAGTCGATGGATCTGCAGGGAGGTTGC